CGCGCGGCCCCGGCCCCGCGCCGTGGCCTTACCAGCCGCGGCTGTTCTCTTCCAGGGAACTTGCAGAGCTGCGAGACTGAGATGCGGAGGCGACTGGACCTGGCCGCCGGCCCCCGTTCTGGGGCAAACGGCCCACTCCTGGACGGTCCAGGGCGCCGTCTTTGCGAGAGATCACGGAAACGCCAGCTGTCCCACGGGCGCTTCTGGCAGGGTCCACACGTCGTACGCCGTGGGACTGGCTCCTGTTGTTGTTCAGAATCACCGTAGGGGTTTTCTCAGACGCGCCTTCTCATTCTACAGCGGTTTTCTAGCTTTCTTTTCTCTTTCCAGGCTGGGTGGATGATGCAGTTTCACTTCTAGGTGTCAGGATTCTCTTTCACACTGGTTTCTCGTGACCTCAGACCACTGCGCGTGTCTCCACGGGCGACTTTCTATACTGCCACGGCCGGGGGTGGCGGCTGCGTGCCACGGCGCACGGGCTGTGCCAGGCCACCGGGCGGCGGAGCCCAGCTGGCCCTTGAGTGGTTCTGGGGCCCAGACCGGAGGCGGCTGGCGCCGGAGCCCTCGGGCTGCGGCTGGGCGCGGGGAGGTGTTTGTACGGTGGCGACTGCCGAGTCCCCGCCGCCCTCCCGCTCTCCCTGGAGGTCTCCGAGGAGCTGAAGCGTCATTCTGGTCTGCAGCCGCCCACAAAACCACACACATGGCACTTTACTCAAAACTGGACTGTAACCACTGCTTTGTGATGCAAAACTAGTGGAATTTTGGGTACTTTCTGTAAAATCGAAATCTTCGTGGGGGTTTTCCAACACCCTAGTTGATTGTTAATCCGTTATCAGTACAATGAAGAGCAGAAATTTGCTGATACACATGGGCTTCTGTGGCAGGGCAGGATGCTACTGTGTGCCCGAGTGCTTGCACACGGAGAAAGCCCCGACCGGCCTGGGCTGCGCGGAGTCTCCTGCGCACAGTGCGGTCGCAGGCTACTACGTGAGATTTGCAGTCACCAGAGAGATTCCAGGGGCTTCTCATCTCTGCCACAAAGCTCTCAGTGTTCAGTACTTTCTCATCTGTGAATCCTCTTTTGAAAGATTTGAAAAGCAAAGCAAATCAGTTTGCACGGCGACGAGTGACAAGCGCCCTGACCCGCCCGTCCCGAGGGAGCCCACAGGGGAGCCAGGACGGCC